TGTGCCAGCTCTATAACAGTTCTGGACAACGTTATTTACATAACAAAAAAACTACATATCAGAAAATTACACGCAAATTTCCACTCTATATATCCCTATATCCCTATATATAAAAGACATATGCATTATATATGATACATTTCTACAATAATTTTAACATTATAAGATGTCAGTACGTATAATATTACTAAAGCTTCGTTTAAATACTTGCCCAACATGTTTAGTGCTGTAGTGTGTTTAGTCTGTGCAAAAACATATATTTTGTATATAACATAACATAAAATTGTTATTTATCGGATCATGCCGAAATCAATAACTTTAACCTGATCGGTCAAAAACCATTTAACAAATTTTTATCAGGTGTTTCAGAAATCATGAAAACACAGCGGGTTGGCTCACGGATAAACCCACGGGTTAGTTCACGGGTAGACCCGCGGGTTAACCCGTCTAACCTACCTGGGTAAACCCGCAGCTCTACTCGTCCAGCCTTCCAGAGAAGACTGTCCCAAATTAGAAAATAATTATCCAAGTCACCCACATGTTGTATAATTTTTTTTTTATACATTTTACAATACTTCTATTAAAAAGCCCGAGCCAATCAAATTTGCGATTTTTAGAAAAGATAATTTTTTTTACGTTTTACAAGGGCTTCGGGTAACAAATTCTTCTAAGATACGTGACTAACGACTAAATAAACTTGAAGCTTTCACTTTATATTTTAATAATATCAACTGAATCCACCTGAATCCACCAACCTTTATATTATGATTTACTTAACAAAAATATGCCTGAGACTAAGGAATGTATGGAAAGTGGTGCACTGAATCATCTAGATTTCATTCGTTAACACCTATTCCTTTTATGAAACATGGATAAGTCTACCAAGCAGACATAAAGTCTTCGTCTTGCTTTACAACATATTCGCTTAATCCCTTTTAATCCTACAACTTTTAGAGCCTGCCGGAGTTATAAGTGATGAACAATCACTATGTTGACGAAATCATTTGTTGAGCAAAAAAGTAAAAAAAAAACTTATTAATTAGAAGGAAGTAATTCGGTTGTATATTTTTATTATTATATATATATTACATAAAAATTAATAGTTGTATAATTAAAAATAATGTACTATTTCAGATGGATAGAATACGATAATTTTGAAACATTGAAGAAGTAGGTAGAGGTGGATTTTACGTAGTGTATAAAACATACAAAACATTATATGGATGTATAAAGAAGTTGCAATCAAGATAATAAAAGATTCGTATAACAATAAAAAACTTTTTTTAAATGTTTTTTTTTTTTTATACATGTAGAATTTATATCTTTTATGAATTAATTGTATATAATTTTCAGTTTTAAGTTAAAGGCCTTTAAGTTAAAGGGCTATTTAATTAGACGAAGAATTAAGCATAGAATTAGATGTCAAATTAGTGTAGAATTAGATGTCAAATTAGTGTAGAATTAGATGTCAAATTAGCGTAGAATTAGATGTCAAATTAGCGTAGAATTAGATGTCAAATTAGCGTAGATTAGATGTAGAATTAACATATGGGTAAGTACACAGCAAAGCAAGGTTTAGAGACATTTTAATCAAGGTCGAGATTTTTACCGGATTATATTTGAAATATGTGATTTATTCACAGTAAATTTTTAGCTCGCATTAGCATAATAAAATTTTGTACAATTTTATATGCAGTATTTTTTTTATCTATAATATTTAAATTTTTAATTAATTAAATATTGATATCTACAAATAAAAAATTCGCTCCGAAGCCCCTTTTTGCTGTATACTGACCCATATATATATTAATAAATAAATAATATAATAATATCACGATAATATTTAAATAATTTTCTTTAATAATAAATAAAGAAATCGTATTATCAATTTATTAAATAAAAAATATACATATTAAAACTCAAAAAACGATTTTTTTGCAAATTCTAATTCCTCTACTGTTGTACTGCCCATTACTATTTCGACATTATCTATATTATCCTCAACTATATTTTCCTTTTTCTCGTCAATAAATTCACTTGTACCGAATTTTTTTACCAGGCTTTCCTTCAATGCATCAACATTTTTTTTAATTTCTTCCTTAAGATAATCTAAATATATCAAACATTTAGATTGACATTTCTCTAAGCACTGATTATGGTAACCGTGTCTACACGAAAGAACTTTACCACAATCCGAATAATCAATGCAATTACAATTTAAGTAATCGCATAAAGTAGTTGTAAAAGGTTTCCTAGAGGTAACAAAACCTCTTGGAAGGTGCCGATCCGTTATTTCGTAACCTACAGAATGCAACTTATACGTGTTAATATTGTTAGATGAATTGATAATTGGAGAATACTGATAACGAGCTTGAAATATCTTTTTAAACAAGCCTAAAAGTAATATAGCGCATTTTCGAGAAAGCATATGCAATTGCTTGGGTGTATACGGATATTTGACACTATTAACAAAATATTTTTGAAAAGAGTTGTCATCGTGATGCTGAAAAATAAAACGTACCTCTTTTTGCAATTGCTCTGCCTCAGAAAACTTAGTTGTGCGTCGTCGAATAATACTGTGAACAATTTCTACAGGACAATCGCTTAAAGAAGCAAGATGATTAGTAACCATATCCATTAGTGGATGGTTAGTATTCATCCAAAAGAAAATATCCGAAAAAAAACATTAAAGGAGCACGTTTATAATTTTTTTTGATCAAATCGAAGAAAAAGATCGCTCCAGCAATGCATACAAGCTTCTTCGTAAGCTGACCAGTTACCTTCATAGTGATGCACTGCATAAACGTCGAGAACTAAGGGAATTAAGTTACTCAAAATATTGGTTAAATATAAAAATTCAATATTTTTATTAACATGACAAAACTTTGAATAAACAATATCTGATATTTTGAGCCAGGCTATGCACATAATATAAAGAATTAAATCAATCCGCCATGGCCGTGGCGTCTTACCAAGAACTTTACCTTCTCCAAAAATACCTTTATAAATGTCATTAAACAAAAATGAATTTTTGTCAAAAACAAGTTCACAACTATTTAAAAAAACGTGAAGAGGCCCTATCATAGGCAAAAATGCTGTAACGAACTGAGGAATAACTTCGTTGTCAAGAAGAAGCCAGTGTGCAATAGCTTTGCGGATAAAGAACTGCCCAGGCTAATCCGCAACGACTGGTATTACGTAGTTAGAGAGATATTCTCTCATCGATTCTTGATCATGTATGATTTGAAGAGCTTTCATATAATTCTCAACGCTCTTCAAGTTACTTTCGACAAAATCAAAAAGGATGACATTTTGTATATGTCTATCGCTTTTTTTTTCTGCCAACCTGTTATCGTAACTGTGTAGTGTTAGTTTTTCTATAATATTGTTATTAAACCTTTACCTATATAATCTTTTATACGATCATTATAAGAAATTCCAAGGTTGGCCATAAATCTTTCATTGAGATGCTTTAAAATTAGCTCATCGTCAACGATTTTTGGATTAATTGCCCCTTTGCGTGGTATGGCTAGCATGGGACATGAATTCATTACTATTGTTGCCATATGTGCTGCCTAAGACATATCAGTAGTATTGGGCTGTTGCCGTGGAATGTGAATATTGTGATAATCGTCAATATTCAATACGAAAGAATTTTCAGATCGATTCCTAAGGGCCTTCTCTACATATTCTTTATGGGCCTCCGAAACTTTTTTTTTCCTACGATCTACTGCCCTTGCAGTTGTAGTTATACCGATATTGGTCAACGTATTCAGACCCTCGTTACTTGTACCTACAGAATCTAAATAGTATGTTAAATCGAATTTAAACGAATTAATTTTTAAATTATTTAACAACACAAGAAGATAATATAAAAACACCATTAATCTTTTCATACGCTCCATCGTCTGTTCACAACGTTCAAAGGGCCAAGCTATTAAATGAAGTTGGTCGAAAAAATCCTTGAGGCTTGGATCGATTTGTGGAAGTGACTCTCGCATTTCATCAAACGAATAAATAGGGCCTTCTTTCCGTACATGTTCTCTCTGATAAAAGATTTTTGCCATCGATTTAATAACTCCAATAAGATTAATCATACTTACCTCCTCCTCGTTTACGGCCTCTACATCATCTCTTATTGTAGTTTCTGCATCTCTCGATTCTGTTTTCTTTAATTTTATTTTCGATTTCTTTTCTAATAAAATCTTCTACATCTGCTTCAATTACATCAACTAAATTTTCAACTACATCTACTTCTTCAACGACATCTACTTCTTCAACGACATCTACTTCTTCAATAACATCTAATTCAACAACATCTTCCACTTCAACTATATCAGCTTCAGCTACATCTACATTGGTTTCAACTACGACTGCTTCTTCAACCGAGACTTTTGGTCATTTGGCTTCTCTTTTCAATCATCTCAGTTGATTTTCTACACAATTCATGTAACAAGAATGACATAGATAGTTATTTTTTTTCCAAGTTACTTTTAGCAAATCGTAAGCTTCAGCTTCTTTCTATTTATTTCCTGTTAACGAACAAAATCTAGACGATTCAGTGGCACCACATTCCATACATTCCTTAGTCTCAGACATGTTTTTGTTAAGTAAACCATAATATAAAAGTTGTAAATTCAGTTGATATTATCAAAATATAGAGAGAAAGCTTCAAGTTTACTCTGTCATTAGTCACATATCTTAGAAGGATTTGTTACCCGAAGCCCCTTGTAAAACGAAAAAAATTATCTTTTCTAAAAATCGCAAATTTGATTGGCCCGGGCTTTTTTAATAGAAGTATTGTAAAACGTATAAAAAAAAATTATGCAACATGCGGGTGACTCAGATAATTATTTCTTAATTTGGGACGGTCTCCCCTGGAGTCCAGCCTACCCGGGTAGGCACAATCACAACCCGGATACCCGACCCACCCGGGTATACCCGGGTTCAATCACTATCCCTGACGCTTCCTCAGTTTCGTCGTCTTCCCCAATCTTTTCCAGTTTTCTTTTTTTCACGTCTTTATTTGTTCCCTTCTCCGTCGTTTCCTCATTTTCATCATCTCCCGATATTGCATCACTAGATCGTTTTTTCGCGCCTTTATTAAAAATTTCTAAGTCGATCTCTAATGCATATTGGGTTATGCTATTAATCCATTCCGGAATTTTCTTGCCTTTATCTATCTTATATTTTTGCAAGGGGAATGTTTCAAAAATGTCTGATGGCACGACAAAGTATAAATTAAAGTCATTCACATCCTCTCTCCATGCAAGTTTATTGTAAAGGTCATTAAGTCCTTTTACCTATAAAACCTGTTAGTAATAAAAGTGATAACTAAAACTATAAATTCAATTATAACCATTGTCCCCTACCTTCGTACCGTGGTTCGTTGAGATAGTAATTTGGTACAAGTCCAAGGTTTCATTATAGAATCTAAAAGAATCAATCGATGCAAATGTCTTGGACTTTGGTCTGTTATAACATTCCTTAAGCGCTTCATTCAGTGTCATG